TACTCTAAAAGTTTTATATAGTATCTGACTTATATTATGCACAAAAGAAAACTTTGTCAAGTGTACATGTAAAGAAATGATATCAGATTGTGTATATTATATATGATACAATGATATCAATTCTTCATATACAACATTTTATGCTAAATGACACAAAGATGAATACACATTTAGTACCCCTTCAAGAGTCTAAGGATGAGATAATGTATTGTGTGGCGAGAGGTACTCTATGAAAAAGACATACAGGGTGTTGTGTGATTACAAAGGCATTTTGGTGTTGCTGAGATGGGCTTTATAAGGACAGCTTCAGAAAAGGAGGTAAACTTACTCTTTAGGTAGAGATGGGAGGAGGAAGGTGTAATAAGTGCTGGAAGGGGTTTGGAGGGTGGGTAGAATAATTATAGACAAAAATCTTAGATTAAGGTTTGTTTGAAGAACAAAACTAATTTGATATCTTATTTACTCATTATAATGTTGTATTATGAATTGTTTAGGGTCCTGTTATGTAATATGTAACATGAAATCATTGTAACTGTAAACACAATTTATCTTTCATTGAATGACACTTTTCTTTTTCAATCACAGTTCCAATTACAGATGTTCGATATCGTTTGTTCCACATCATGGGCCAATAGAGACAAATGCTGTGAACTGCCAGGCCTGGTAAGAATTCTTTCATTATTTGGTCTGTTCTCTACTAAATTCTCTAAAAATTATATCTCATTTTCTCTGAAAACAAAATGCTCTTTCTCAATACTCATATTATAAATAGTTCATTGGAATGATAATCAAAACTAGGAAGAGGCTGAAATGAAGGTGGTCTGAAATTAACAGGAACACTGCTTACTATTGCACATGCTTTGAATTGCACAGCTGAGGGGCGCCTTTACATATATTACAGATGTTTCCAAATGTTACGGTTCATTGAATGTCACTGAATCCCTCGGTGGCTCTAGTTTTTTCATGATACTCTAGGCCAAATAGTATACCTAACATTTGCATTTACGAAATAGTCAGGTCCAAACATCTCCCTAAGTTTAGTTGTAACAGCTCATAGCCATATGAAAAAAATAATATACATAAATTGAAAGAAAAATAAATGATACTTTAATTTTACTCTTAAATAGCCACTAATGGGATATGTGTACTTTCTGGGCTGCAGCATGCCATGTGTTGGGATCATAGTGGGCATTTCCTTGACTTCTTTTTCCACTTTACTTTTTCCTATGGTACTTGCTTTCATTGTGAAGATTGCAGAAAAGTCAGACTTACAAATACAAAAATCATCCAAAAAAAGTATTTCAAAATTGACTGTTGAAACTGTAAGCCACTTTGAGCTAGTCACTCACATGAAGTATGATGAGTGCCGAATATTCCTGTATCTCCTTGAATGGTCGAGCGCTCACACTGGGCTGCCAGGTGTTGTGGTGGTTAAGGCAATGGATTCCCATATGACCAACTGCAGTTTGAGTCCCAGACCTTGAGGCCTGCTTTCTCATTTCCTCCTTCTCTCTGTCTCTCTTGGGTGAGCACATGTGCCCTATAGCAAATTAAAAGATAGTAATAATAATAATAAATAAAATAAAATAAATAATTCTTCAAAACATTGACAATAATCTTGTGTTTGATTTTATCACCCCAAGGTCCCTTGGCAGACATCTTGACAAACAAATTTGAAAGTACAGTCATGATCTATGTAACCTATGTGATGCAACTAGAAAGCTTAAACTTTTTCTCATTATTAATGCAGAGTGATTAGGACCAGCAGTTAGTGTAATGACTGTGTTGCTGGACTCCCATGTAGTCAACTATGGTTTGCATCCCAGACCCAGTGGCTTAAACTCACACCGGGCGCATGCGCGTGCGTGTCCAAGATCCTGAGAGTAGAATGGAGGAGAAAGG